TGGTTTACCTGTTGTGTTTTTCTTTACACTACTAGAGTGGGTAGCTTAATTGATGAGCTGTGGCCTCATGAAGTATTTTCTTCTGCCTGTTCAGTCACTACTTAATACATGACTGTTGGCTTTATGTAAAAACTGTGGAAATCTATGGTATTTTTCATGATGACTGAAGAAAAAATTAAAAAAAAAAAAAAAAAGGAAACTACTACCACTGCAACACCAGAGAGTCAGCTCTCTGTCCCTTTAAGAGTCAGGTGTACCTGCAGGCAGGTGTGTTATTATTTTCCAGCATTGTGTTAGTTACTGAAAAATAGTAACTACTTACAGTTAATAGTTACTTTGTAAAAAAAAAGGTAACTCAGTTAGTAACTCAGTTACTTAAACCAACAAGTAATGTGTCACTGAGAAAGTAACTATTTAGTTACTGTAAAACATTCTTCCAATGCTCACATTACATGAAGGTGGGTTGACTGAGTTCCCCTCTAGCCGTCATTTTAGTTCTGTACTGATGCTAAATAAAACAAACTGTTGATTAAAACAACCCTATCAATTCATGTACATCTACATCACTGAATCTACTCATTCAAGCAATCTGTTCCGTTGTGCACCAACACAAACCTCGACAAAATTTTACCCTTGAACTCTTGGAATCAAAGCCTGATATCGCTAAAAGAGATCCAAATAAACAATTAAACATACCGTGCTTTTGTTTTATTAAGTTGTGCCTGACTATGGGCTCTATTTTGGTGCCTCGCCGGAGACGTGCCGCAAGCGCAGTGTCAGTCAGATCCGCCGCGCTGACAAGGCGTTCCCAAGCACATTTTGGTAATTTGGTGAGCCCCGCAGCCCGGCGTAAGTATCCCCCCTCCCTAACTCAGCTCCTCCCAGCACCATAAGTCGTAGACGGGGAGGAGAAAGGGCGTGAAGTGGGTTTAACACAGCCGAGACCTGTTTTCACCAATCACATAGGCTCCTCTCCTTGCCTTTAAATCCGCCACAGGCGAGGCGTATTATTATTTTCATGAAGTAGTCAAAGAGATCAAGAGATGTCTTAAGACAGTAATGCCACAAGATGGTGACAGAGGGCAGCTCCTCAACAAGTGTCCTCCACACTCTCTCATATGAGCACAGATGGATTTAGTGTGCGTAATGTTGGACCCACTGGTAAGACAAACACCCTTTTCCACAAATAAAGACACTCAAATAAAGTTGCTCATATTCAAACCTCACGTGACAAAGGTGGGTTGAGCGCACAGATCACAACATAAACTCCAAAACTGGCATTAAAATCGGAACCATCTGTGCGTAAATGACGCATCGCGCTCCGTGGCCTGGCTCTTTCTTTCATAGATGTTGGCATATAAAATAAATTTGGCTCACAAAACTGAATATTATAATATCCGTATGTCAGCTGTGCGAGAAATAATAGGAAGAGGAAGAAAGAAAAGGAGGGAGATGAATTACATATCTTGTTAACGTCATCATGTGTGTTTATTTACTAGATATTTAATTTAATTTGATGCGGTTTCAGCTGTGTTGATTCGGTCAGGTTGTGTGTCCAAACGCGTGCCAAACGCGCTCATCAGATCAGATATAGATCAGAATATATCGATATAGATCTAAATGTATGTGCTGACTCAGATTAATAGTTGATGATGATTATTTATTGCACTAAAATCTGCCTGACACTGTGGAAACCTGCCGGTGAGGCATCAGTGACGTATGTCGATACGCCGCCGGTCTACCAAAATACTACTGGACCAGCTGCGTTCCGCCTTGCGCTGAAAGCTGACTAGGTTTGAATCGGCAAGCTTTCAGCGCACTTTACACGCCGTTGGCGAGCACGAAAATGTCACTGCGCCTGCTGATTCTGTCGACACCTCCCCCTGCCACGCCACCACGCCCAGCTTGGCGGATCTCGGCTCGCCTCCGTGCGGCTCATGCCATGAAAATACCAAATTGGCCTTACGCTGGGCTCCGCCAGACGAAAATACAACTGCGCGGGGCTCGCCGCCCTCTGCTGCTTGGCTGGAGTAAGTGTGTGCTCGCTGCTGTGACTCTCGGTCTCGGAGGCTGCATTACAGCATGCCGCTTCGCTAAGTGCTTCAGTAGATTGCTGCTGCTGTTGTTCGCCGTAGAAAGGATTTTTGACCCAGGACACATTTTACAGGTACTGAAATGTTGTTTTTCCCTTTGCTCTGGAGTTAAAAAAATGTGAATATCTCAATGGGGAACCTTATCTTCCCCTTCTCACTCGCCGTGCCCTGACTTGTTCAGTCCTCTTCATGGTGCGTGTTTGATTCCATGTGTGACGCCAGAGGGTGACAAGTGCTTTGTTTTTCCAATTCAATTAAACTTTATTTAACGCTAAAATGTTATGGGAACTATGTGCCATCGTAAAACTTAACCAAAAGGAACGGAGTAACCCAGCATTTGGTAACGGAAACAGAGATACTGAATAAAACAATTCGTTAAATTATTAGATACTGAATTAAGTAACAACACTACGTAACGGTGTAACTAATAATGTGTTACTACCCAACATTGCTATTTACACAGTGAATTTATTATTTTTCTTTAAATACACCTGGCTCAAGCCAACACATTTAAACCCGTCTCTTACAAACTTAAGTGACTTTCCAAATTGACACATTTGTACATTATTCACAAAGCACAGCAGCAATAACCTTATAACATTTGTAAAACGTGGAGTATGCTGACATGCTGAACAGGATCTTACATTCATCAATGTCCTGTGTACTTAACATCATGAAGGTAGGTTTTGTATTGTTAACTTTTTTTTTTTTGCTTCTGTATTTTGTACTGTGTGCACAATGGATCCTGTTCAGACTGTTGATTTTCAGAGGGCACAATGATCTGTGGCATTTAGGGTTTGCAGTTATGCAGACTGAACAAAACCATTTAGTTGTCACTTTAAGGCTCAGAAAGTTTCACAAATGAAGAACAGAGGCCAATCGTTTCATGAAGTGATGCTCACAAAGTAATTTCAATCCATCGAACATCCAGTGAGTCCAGAGAAATCCTCAAACTGTTCCACTAAGCAGCTGGAAACACTCTGTAGAGAGCGATCAATCCACTCACCGCACATTTAATCCTCGCAGATCAATGGGACTTTACTGCAGCTTGTTTTATGATGCAAACATGTGCTTGGCGTGTATTGAAGCATGTAACACAAAGATCAATGCATGCATGTACACATGTACACTCATAAAGCTTCACTTCTGCTTGGATTTGATTGTGTGAAAGTTTTATGATGTGTGCTCGACAGGTTGCAGAAGGCTTGTGTTCAGTAACACGTGCAGGTGAAGCTGCACAGAGATGAAGTAATCCCTGCTTTTACTGATACATTCAACTCTCACATGAGCTCTGTTGAACACACATGATCATTCTTGCTGTAAATCTTACGCCTCCTCACAGTCACACTGAGCGCTCAGTGATTGTAAGCCTCCAAGGCCTCAGTCTAATTCCCCCTTAACACACACACACTTTCATATATGCACAGCCTTAATTGTTTTCTTGTGACCTGCGCTGAGGGTTATGTTGCATGTTGATTTGCCCCCTTCCCTCCCTCGGGACAGCTTCAGTGACGTTGATGGAGGAGCTTAGTGCAATCAAAAGGCTCCAAACACACACAATCCAATTCTTATTCAAATGCTGTAATAACAGGAGAGCAGAGGACGCTCATCACAGCATCAGTATGTCGGCCCGGTCCCCAGACACACACTCAGCTCAGCAGCCTCATACAGTATATATACTCCCATTAACTCAGATTATCTTTCATTTATGACATCTAATCAGATTAAGTCAAATAATCATTAAGGCCTCCAGTCCCTGGAGTCAGTCTTCTGTAAACTTGTGATCCATTTAAATGCAGAGCATAAACACAGTGAGATTTTACAGTGTTGGATCCATTCCTACATTTACTCTCATGCTGTCCAGCACTGTTTTATTTTTAATCCTGCAGCTCATGTAAACTAGATTGTTAGTTTGATGTGCTGTTGAATTCAGGTGAAAGGGTAAGGTGCTCTCAAATGTCCACTTGATGGGGCTGTAAATACTTCCTGGTCCATGAATAAGACGTATGAATTTACAAGGGTCCCCCAGCATTGAATCAGATAAAGAAACTGTGTGCAAATCTGTGCTTATAGCTCGCATAACCTTACAAACAGTTTATTATCTGTGCTGAGATTTTCCATAAAGTCACTGCAAACAGTTTACAATCCATGCAGACTGTTTGTAATCTTCTATCACATTTATAATCTGTATTCATTGAAGAAAAAGAAAAAAAAAAGAAAACATCTGTCTAAATGGTTAAAATCCATGCAAAGCGTTCACACTCATACACAGTTTATAATCCATTCTCAAACATTATGATTCATTTAAACAGGTCACAGTGCATGTGTACAAATTGCTAACAAGTTTGCTGACACAATTTTCTAAATTACATTTATATCATTTAATCCATGAGCATAATTCATAAGCAGTGCATACACTTTAAAAACCTTAGACATGGTTTATCATCCACTGGCACATTTTTATATCTTTGCACAAACTCTTTAATCGATGCACACAGTTTGTAACCAATGCAAACAGTTTATATTCTCTTTGCAAAGGTTACAGTTTTATATCTTCTTATATATTTTATTATTATTCATATATTTCCATGAACACATTTTTAAATCAGTGAGCACTCTTGTAAGTAATTGCACAAAGTTCATTATCCAGGAGCTTAGTATACAATACATGCACTCAATTGATGTATGCATGTATGTATACAGAGTTGGTAACCAATGCACACTGTTTAAAATAAGTGTGCACAGTTTGCAATCAACACACTTTGTGTAAAATCCTTGAGCACAGTTAATAATTTATGTAGATCATTTATGAACCATTTGCACAGAACAAAATTATGCACAGAGTTTAATTTGTTGTGTGGTTTCCAGTCCAGTTTTATTTCTTTGCACAGAGAATGTAACCATACATACACTACAGGCCAAAAGTTTGGAAGCAAGGCCATTACAGGCCAAACAGTTGGGAGTCACTTCAAGTTTTTGTTCACAATGCTTTTTTTAAAATCCAGCATGAGTTTTATGTATTTTGGGATGTATTTACTCCATGATCAGATGTTGCTTTCATGAAAATGCACCATTTTACTCCATTTACCTTTAGATATACATTGATGTTAACAGACCATTGCTAAATATATGTCAGCAAAAGAAAATAAGGGCTTAGTTTTAGGGTTGAAAACATTTGCAAGTGTCACAACTTCAGTGCAAAAGCAAAAAAACAAATCACAGTTGGATTATTCACTTGTGAGAGTCTACATACAAAAATCCAAATATATCTCAACTGCGTTCAAACTACAACAAAAATGGCTAGAAAGAAGCAACTGAGTAAAGAAACAAAAGTACAGATTTGTACATTGAGGAAAGAAGGATACACAGAAAGAGAAACTGCAAAACGCCGACAGGTGTTTAACAAAGGAGTCCACTACACTCTAAGGAGACTAGAGGAACCTGGAAGTTATGATGATAGAAAAAGACCTGGACGAAAGAGAGTTACTACAAAAGCAGAGGATAAACATATCATTGTCACCAGTAAGAGAGATCGGCGAAAGACGGCACGAAAAATAAGGGAGCAACATGACAAGGTCGAAACCCATATCTCTGACAACCGTGAAATGACGTTTGAGAAAGGCTGGTCTGAAGGGTTGTGTATCTGCAAAAAAACACTACTTCATCCACAGAACAAGAAAAAGAGATATGAGTGAGTCTATGTGAGTCTATGTCTGTAGACAAACTGGTGAACGTCTGAAAGCACCATGTGTTACACCCACAGTTCAACATGGAGGTGGTAGTTCCATGGTATGGGGATGTTTTGCAGGTGATAGAGTTGGAGATTTGTTTGAAGTAAAGGGTATCATGATGAAGGAACAGTACCACTCCATCCTCCAGCACCATGCTGTTCCATCTGGACTCAGACTTGTGGCTCATAAGTTTGTTTTGCAGCAAGACAATGACCCTAAGCACACTGCCAAGCTCTGTCAGGGTTACCTAGACAAATAGAAGAGGGAGGTGTTCTTCAAAAGATGGTTTGACCCCGTCAGTCTCCAGACCTTTCTCCAAATGAGCTTGTGCGGGATGAATTGGATCAATCGGTCAGATAAACGCATCCCAAGAATCAGCAGTCTCTTTTCTAATGAACTTTAGAAAGCTTGGAATGCAATCCCTGGAGCATACCTTGAAAAAACTTGTGGAACGAATGCCTGGTATATGCCAAGCTGTTGTTAAAGCCAGAGGAGGTTACTTTAAAGAAAGCAAAGTCTAAGCAACAATAACTCAAATACCTAATAATTATAGTCGAAATGTCTGCTGATTAGTTACTCTTTACACAATAGTCATGTTTATTGTGTTGCAAATTATATATATGAAACTATGATCTTTTTTTGTACAAATCTGATCTTGCTTACAAACTTTTGGCTTGTAGTGTACATTACATGAACCATGTGTTTGTGAGTGTTTGGCTGCTACCTTGGCTAGGTCTCTTTTCCAAGAGATTTTAAATGTCAGGGACCTCGTATTTAAAAAAAGATGAGATAAAACAAAAATAAAAGTCTCTGATCCATGCACTGTGTTTATAGTCTGTGTATACAGTTGGAAATCAGAGTGGTGACAGTTTAATATTAAAGCACAAAGACTATAAAAACATGCAGACAGTTCATTATTAGTGCGCACAGTTTCCAATCCATTTACACCTGTCAATTACCCACATACAAACTTTATTATCTTTGCACACAGTTTACAACCCATTTACAGTTTATTATAAGCTGGAACAGTTTATAATAGTGCACACAAGTCATAATCCCAAGAGCACATTTTAAAATCAGTACATACAGTTTCAGACACAAACACCCAGTTTCTTAATCCCTTTACAAATCTGTCATGTCAGTGCAAATTTACCCTGTGCAGTCAGCAACTGTGCACTTAGTCTTTTATTATAATTATTTATTTATTTATGTATTTATTTATTATAAATAGACTGTGTGTGCACTGAAATCACATGATAACAGAGTCAGTTATAAAACATGGATGACTGTTAAGTCTTAGATGGAAATGTCTCTGATGGTTTGTCACAGTTTGTGCAGGATTATAATTCCATTATTACAAAAGACAAAAATACACACAAACATAAAAATGCCTCCTCAGGGCAGAAACTTAGAGAATGTGCGTCAGCCATCATTTAATTAAACATGTGTTATCCCCAGAAGTATTTACATAATAACACGTACACACACACACATGCTCAGAAAGAAGGGTTAAACAGCTTTGGGGAAAGGTCAGATTTAATTACATCCAATACTTCTGCTTCTTCTCACCCTGAAACAATTACTAGTTAATGGAGGAAGTCACAGAGAGCTGCTTTCTGAACGACTGCTGAATAATAATATGTCAGCACACAGACGTGTGTGTGTGTGTATGTGTATGTGTGCTTCTGTGTTTGGGAATCTTATTAGTTTTCTGTATTAACTTGTTCATAAATGTGTTCGTTTTTGAATATTCCTCTGTAGTAAGCAGCCTGCATCCATCTTTATTTCTATGGTTATGTGTTTTAGTGTGTTTTATGTACATACAGCCTCCTTTATGGCTTATTCCTAATAGCTGAGTCGTTCCAGCAGAGTCGAGCCTCCTTTTATTCCTCTGTTAATCACTCTCCATCGCCCAATTAAGCCTCAAACTAACACCCTTGTCGTAATGAGCACGTCATAAGACTCCTCTCTCTCCCTCCATCTATGCTTATACTTGCTGAGATGTTTCCCTGTGTAATTAAGTCCTCGTTCAGAGTATGACAGCCAGATGTATTTCAGCTTTTTTCTTATACAATCAGGAATTCATGACTGAATGAAATGCTTGAGGCAAGGTCGGTCTGGATCTGAAGTTCAGAGTTTAAGGTTTGTGATTCTGGAGGATTCATTGAAAACACAGACACAGACTGCTGCAGCTGAATATACAGTATACTTTTTGGTGAAGGACAGAGCGAGGAAAAAAAGAACAAACATCTGCTGAAGGTTGGACACACCGGGCCAATTAAAACACTCCATTTGAAATGTAAAATTTACTACCTGAAGTTTAAACCCAGCGTATACAAACATTCACTATTTTACATGTATTTCAAGGGCCTACTCCTTTGCTTTGCAACACTTCACCCTAGCTCTTCCTTTTTATGCTGTCTAATATTACCAGTGTCATATGGTTTGTCAGTGATGCTTCTCTGTTCTGTGGTGTCTCAGACTTTACTACGGGTCTTTGCTGTTGCTCTCCCTGTCTTGGCTTTTTTCACGAGAGTAAGGGAGCAATGTGTGCTTGCTCCATCTCAAGGCAGAGAGCTCTCGGAACAGAGCTTGTTTTTTTTTTTTTTTTTGCTGCTGCTCTTCTTGCCCTAGCTTTTCATGTTTGTGAATTAAACAGATGGGAGCTGTGCTCTTTCCAGGTTTCATGCTTTACAATTACAATGTTAAAAAGCAACTAAGGTACTGAAAATACAAGTGGGGGACACTAAGCAGGTTTTTACAGTGGAGGGACAATTTTAGACCTCTTCCAGTGGCTCTCAAGAAGTTTGTCTTTTATAAAAAATAAAAAAATAAAAACCACACTTGCTAAATATTACTTGATTATTAAACCAGGATTTAATAATTCTGCAATAAATTTAAATTCTGTTTATTTAAGACTGACTGTGAACTGTATTGCCACATCTTTGCGGCCATTGATGCCGTCTTCCTCATGTAACACCATGATCTTCAACCACTTGTAACCTGCATCACCTCCACCTTCAATTATTCCTAAGCCCTATGATATTTGACCTGCTGTCAAATTCCCTCCCATATCAAAAGGAGTTGAGAAGAGAGGAAGGCCTATTCTCTACCAAGCGGGCAGTATGGTGAGCAATAGTTTCAACCACCTTTGCTGCACCCTCTCCAAATGTCCCCTCCTACACGTCTGCTCCTTCTGCAGAGCGACCTGCCCACACAACCCCACCACACCCGCCAGCTGACTACTACAGCAACTCAGCTCACCTGTTAAGGTAAATGCTCTTGCCGAAGCTCTCGAGAAACACCCAGACAGTTTGTTAATTTTATTATTAACAGTTTTACTCATGGTTTTCACCCTGGCATAGACATGCTCTTTGACATTTCACACACCGGCCACAACCTTTAGTCCGCTCTCAAATAACCCAACACTGTTGATCCTCTACTAGCAAAATAGGTTAAAGAGGTAGTCATTGTTGGTCCATTCAACAAACCACCCTTTCTCACCCTTTCCTCAGATGTTGTGAATTTGTTCTGACCTCATAAACACCATGAACACCTGCATCAGGTTCTTCACATATCAGGCATAACTTGGGACCACTACTCAGCCCACTCATTCTGCATCAGCGCAGCATCCACAGCAGTCAGACTATATCAGATCGAACCATTCAGATTCTTGGGCGATGGTCATCTCAGGCATATTACTCCTCTATCAGATATAACCTCAATGATCTGCTTCAAGCTCACACTCAACTAAGCTCCCTTCCAATATGACTCTTTGGGGTCCAGTTAAGCTCGAGCAGAGCAACACTCAAAACAGAACACCGATTTCCACACACCAAACGAGAGTAAAATCGTTTGCGTGAATGAATTACATGTTAAGTCAATACAAAGACGCGATTAGACGCTCGTACTACTCTGGAGCCGCAAATGACACGAATTAGGCGGGAGCTGAAAATGTCTCAACTTGAGCAGATATATTTGTGTCGCGATACAGTGGTTGCTGTGTGACATATGAAAAAGGACCATGGTTCTCTGGTATCTCAGATGGAGGACAAACTGATCCTGTCAGTGTGTGGGTGTCCCGTATCATATGATACCTTTTCTTTCAATTACCGAAACCAGAATAAAAAGGAGCTCTCCTGGAGGTAAGTAAGTGAGGACGTCGGATAACCTGGTAATCCTGTGAGTGCATATGTGTGCCTGTGGTTATAGGGTCAGTTGGAAAGCTGCAGCACCTACAGCCTGGGCAGTAACAGCAGCACTTTACCCTCTGCTATTTCCCTCTCTGGATCTAATTTACTCATGTCAGGGTGTCTCTCCTCCCCACAACAAATATATAGTAGCGGCCTTTGCGATGTGGTTTATTTCTACCATGCTTGGATCTCTTGTATCCAAGGCGCCAGTGTCCAAGGAATGATGAACTTATTTAGATTTGACGCATGAATGAAGCGAGTAAATACTATTCATTCATGCATCTAGATTTCCACGAGTTAAGCGAGCAAATGATTTTACTCACACTTGGCGTGAGTGCCCCATAAGTCTCTCCCAGCCGGACAGGCCTCTACAGAACCTTTCAGACCACCCAAACGTTCAACGTTCCTTGTTAGCCTTCATCATTCATCACAACATACAGTCACAGCGTGCGCACTCCTAAATTTTCATAAAAAATATAAATACAAACTGTTATGGTGTGGTTATTGATGGTATATCAACAGTCTTTGACTAAAACCGTCCTTTCTGATTGAGATAAGTGTTCATTGTGACAACTGCGTGGGCTTTAGATGACCAACAGCTTCTGAATTGTGTGCGATAAATTCCCAGTTTTTATCAGTGTAGTTTTCTGCGTTTGAAGAGAGATGTACAGCTGTTTGTGGTTAAAAAAAAAAAAAATCACCTTCTCTCCTGGGGATCCTTCCTGTAATTGTGCTGTGTCCGTTGCAGTCTGTCTTAAAGCTTTAGGGCTGTAGTCTGAGTTGGTGGCAGGTTCTTCTTAGTTGGTCTTAAGTGAGTGTAAGAAATTCCTAAAGTACATGCAGATACCATCTGTCTGTTCTGTTTCTGTTTCTTTTTTTGCACTTTCGGCACGTGTTAAAATATCAGTGCAATTTCTCTTTCATCTGTGCTAAAAAAAAAAATCCCCTTGCGTACAGAGTGTGACGGTGTCAGATGAAGATTTGACACTTTGTTTCCACAGATGGACTCTTCATGACACACTGACTGCATGTTTGTGCTAATGAAAACACACTGAGCTGTTCACCTGTGTCCTGGTTAACGCTCCCTGATGCTGTGAGCCACACCAGCAGCTCTATCAGATACAGAGGCTCAGCTCACCCTCAGAGACCTCCACCTCTTCCTCAGCAGGAGGAAGACTTTTGCAGAGAGCATGAGTGAACGGGGAGAAAGGATTACCTTTTTCCTACGCCCTTACACCGTGGAGCTGACACCAAAGCTATGGACGTGTGACGCCCAGGGCTGTCCTCATGTTCTCAGAGAACTCCCTTTAAACCCCAGTCACCTGAACGAATCAGAGCAGGGATGCAATATGTGAAAGAGGATGATTAGTGTCAGCGTGACCTCCTCCATCCTCAGGCAGAGACCTCGGCTCCAGGATGCAGCTCTAAAATTATTACAGCTTCCTCAAAGAAATTAAACCCGCAGAGAGATGGAGGGTCACCACATTTACAGCCAGGGCTGCAGCGGCATGACAAAAACATGGCAATCATTTCACAGACAGAAAAATAACACTCCTGTTTTCATCCTGCTGCTGTAAAGCCTTTTTATAACTCACACTGAGGGGTCTTTACTATTCCTCACAGCTTCATCCAAACAAAAGACCACAGTGCGGTAAGTGCAGGACTGGCCATACCTAACATACTGGGTACTGTTGAATCAGTGCACTTTTGAGAGTCCAGTCAAATATGATTTATCCTGAAAACAGCAAACACAAATGACCAGCCTAATAAGCAGGAGCAGCAGCCAAGTGATTATTTCCTTGATGATAATGAGCTGGTCTAATCACTTCATTCACAGCGCCGTCTCCATCCTCTTCTTTATCCTTTGCCTCTAAGATCATGAAAGTTTCTGCATAAAGTCAAACATCAAAATCATCAATCAGCAATGGTTATAAAAGTCATGGAGAGTGGAGAAGTTGCAAGATGTGGATAGCACCATCAGGGGGAGGAGTAACTTATGCCTTCTATACACTTGCGGCCTGAAATACTAAAGCTTTGCGTGTGCAAAAAAATGTGCAAATTTGATAGCACGCAAAAAGCTGATCTACTAACCTGGATTGCGTCTGTGAAGCGCACAATCCATTTAGCGTGTTTGCCTTAACAATTATGTAGCTTGTATGTAGATCAGCAGACTGTGCAAAATTCTGGGAGGAGCAGATGCAGTCATTGTGGGGTGAAGGAGGCGAAAATGCAAAAGCGTTTTTCTAAATGACTGTCTCGATAAATAACAAGGTCAAACACGGATCTCTTTTTTTTATTTCAAAATATTTTCTTGCATCTGTAAAGCACTTTGAATTGCCTTGTGTAAAAATGCTGCTATGCAAATAAACTTCCCTTATCTTTTATGCAGTTGCTGGCTTCCCCAAAACGATATGTGCAACTCCATGGCATCAAACTTCATTTTTCATCTACGATCACTCTGCTCTCACCAACTCTCCACTGTGACGGCAAATAGCGCACACAAAATCCTTGTTTAAAGAGGGTGGTCCGCACCACTTTTACTCCTGTTATCAATTGCACACGCAATGTTAGTAGATCACCTGCAACACGCCCACTAATAGGATGTGCAATTTTTTAGTTTGCACACGCAATTTAGTGTTCGCTATTTGGGATCTGAGTAGATCAGGCCCTTACAGTAGATATGTGTCTGTAGATCCCTGAGGAAGCAGACAGTACCTTTCGCGTCCAACGCAAGAAAGTGCATTTCTTAAATGATAGAAAGAAACCGTAGAATCTATCTCGGGAATTGGAGGAGAGTCTCATTCAGCAGTTAACTAATGAATTTGAGTGTAAACTGGTGAACATAATATGAATGTATCAAATGCATAACCCCATTTCAACAGAATAACATCACTTCAGTTGATCATGTAATGAAACTTCCTAAATACACCCTCGGTAATCACATTAACTCACTCAACATTCAACATGACATCGACTGGAACAAAGGAAACAGCCTCATAAAGGGATATTCCGGCGTAAAATTAATTCAGGGTTAAACACACCATAACACCGAGTTAGACACCCCCTCAGGAGAATCATGTTGCCAACTGCTTGCTTCTCTAGTTGTACCAACTTTAGAAATGACCACACAATAGCAATACACAGCAGTCTACCACTCTGCACCCAGTATTTTTCCTATCATGACTGTGATGTTGACAAATGGGAGCACAGAGCACTTTCAAAACGTGCAAAATTCACAAACAAACTTGTACCACGACAGAGGAATGATGAAGTTAATGCTGTGGGATAAAATATATGAAACACAGGAGAAGTTTATGGAGCTCTGGCAACATCCCTGAGTGACTCTCAGCACCTGTATGAGGTGATCTCCAGGTCAGTGTTTGGACCCTCAGTTCTGATGCTCCAGTCAGGGTGAAGGTTCAGTCTGCAGGTGCAGCTCAAGCAGGTACTTTAATTATTCCTTTAGCTGGTGGCTTTTCAAACTAACTTTAATTGCTTTGATATGTGGTGACTTCAATGATCACAGCGTATGATTACTGTGCTGAGTTATGTGTGTCTCTGTAGACTACTGTCTGCTAAGTAAACTGCCCCACAGGGACATTAAATTGAACTCTTGGGATGTGTCCACAAGGGACGACCACAATAGACTCCACATCACACAGGGAATATCATATTAACGGCTTTGAGCGCCATCGTTTGTTCACAGTAGCTACGTTTACATGGAGCCAAATATTCCGAATATAATCGGATTGGAAGCCCAATCGGAATGAAAATGCTCCATATAAACACCTCATTCGGAATAAACAGGCCCATTCCGAATGGAATTTCATTCCGATTCACAGGGGTAGAATATTCCTTTTCCCATTCCGATTAAAAGCAAAATCCTGTCATGTAAACGGTGAATCGGAAAGTTGTCAGGCTGGGTTCTGTCTGCGCATGCTCTGTCCTGATGTAAACAAGCAGTGACGTATGACTCACATGGAAACATGATGGCGGCTTCCAAGCAGAGCACGATGCACTGGTCTGCGTCGGAGATCACGTGATCAATCAATCACGTGATGTTTGAAGGTATCACGTGTCTGTAAATAGCTGTTCCGATTGAATGCCGTGGCACATGTAAACACCAGATCAGAATAGATCGCTTCCATGTAAACAGTTCGCCTGGGAGCTTCAATCGGAATGATTATAATCCGAATGAGAAAAAAGTCTGCATGTAAACGTGGCTAGAGTTGTCTGGTCCCCCTCCTTCAAACGTCATCGTCAAACTTCTGTCATGATGAATGGTCAGGTTCCACCATGAAGTCCGCTATACCTGTGATTTATGAATTTCTGGCCCTGTGATTGGCTACTGAGTGACCTGCGTCAGAAAAAAAGGTCCATACGGGAAGAATGCTATTTTATTTGACCTTCTGAGTCAGTCCTGACTCATTAAATTAAAAACAGAAATAGTGTGTGCAGACAGCTATGTAACACACATGAGACACACAGCAGGGAATACAGTTTACATGCTGCAGATAATTGAAAAATAAAGACATAAATAAATAAAACAACAAAAAAGAAAAAAACAACAAAACAAAAACAAAAAAAAAAAACATGTAATTACAATGACCTGAATATCCTTTGTGCCAGTCTGTAAATAATGCACCAAATAACAGTTTCATGTACACTATGAGTTTTATTATGAACTCTGTTGCTGCAGTGTTATAGCTCAGGGATGAGTCTGTTTGTTTCAAGAAGAAGCAAAATCAGGTGAAGGTGAGCTCTAAACATCTAGTCACCCTCCTCTCTCTCTCTCTCTCTCTCTCTCTCTCTCTATCGCGCTCTCTCTCTCCTCTCTCCATGCTCCAGACCCGGAGCAGTGCTCTCTTCAGAGAGACGATCGATAAGGACACTTCAAAGTGGGTTTGGGAGGGCTGTCTTTGAAAGATGCAGGAGGCATCAGTACTTAATGCACACAGATCCTCTTGCGTCAGCAGAGCTGCAGCAGACTGACACAACCTTTACAGACAGGAGTCACCAGCAGAGAGAGGGGAGAAGGAGGAAGGTTACAATTATTCAGATATCTGAGACCTGATATTAATTGAGTTGGGAAAAATAAATATACAATTAGAAGAGTCAAGACTGGGGAAACCAGCCCCAGTTGGTTTAAACCCTCAGCATCATTTGCCTTCAAGCTCAGTGGTTTCCTTATCAGTGCTTTCTTATTGCACCTGTCTTATACAACTTAATATGTGCCCACAGTATCAGCTCTGAAAAAAGTAATGGTGCAATATACAGACTTCCTTTAAATCCACTCGCTCCTTGAGACCGGCAGCTTCCAAACTTTGAGTGTTTCTGTGACATCCAGGAGCTTTATTTATCTATTTATTTACTTTCTATCCCACAAAGAAGATCAGAGTATTTTAGAGACAGAAACAAAGATAATCTGAGTAATTTAGAGAAATAGTGTCATCTCAGTTTTTAGCCAATGAAAGACTGGCATCTTTGTTATGATCTTCTCACCAATGAGAGGCTGTATCTGCTGAAAGTAGGGGTCAGGCTTCTTCTATTTGTCGAAACAGCAAAGGTAATTAAACTAATAGAAAGCTTGGAGTGTTGACAAAGAGATCTCAAACCCACAGGAATCAAAGAAGAAAAAATGGGTCAATAAGCAGAATGGATTATGGCATCGGTATCAGTAAAATCTTCATAATTCTCATCCCTGGTGACATCTTCGTAGAGAGGCCAGCTGACCTAGACTGAGTTTTAACTTCACGGAGATCATTTTTCCAAATGGTCTAGAAGAAGACAAACCCCTGTTTTTGCTGGAGTCACTCTTATCATGCTGCATTTTTTTCCTAATTTTTCAAGTATGGTTGGAATGAATGTACTGAATCAACTACAGACTCATCAAATTTACCATGTCCAGATTGGCGCTGCTCCATATGTGATTACATCCACAAAACTTTGTCCACAGGGGGGTTGGTCTCTTGACTCGAACTGTCTGCCAGCACTGCTCTGTGCCGCACTCTGAAAACACAGCCAGTGGGTGTTGATGATCTTTTATAATTCAGAAGGGAGACGAACCAAACACAGATCTGGTGGAGGTCTGGTGTGGGGTCACATTGACACTTGAGCTGTTTGTTCCCTGGTCTGTTTCTCCTGAGAGTCTGGTTTGTTTGGAGTGGTGTGAAAGGTCATTTACACTCTGGTATGGACCAAACAGGTGAACTCGGGTGTCGTTTATTTGAGGTTTGAAAGCAAAGACAGGAGGTGACATCAATGACAGTGCAACACAGGTCAATATCTGTGCATCAGCACCGTGCTTCTCATCTGTGTAACCATGGCAACACATCTTATCAGGGCTCTTCTTCTGTGCTTTTTTGATAGTCTTATGTAGAAACCAACATGCTCTACTTGTCAAACACAGTTATTATATGAACTTCAAAGAAAAAGCAGAGACAACAAGACTAAAGACATTTAGCGTTGCTCCACTGCTGCAAAAATGATAAAAGTTAGAGAAAATCAAATCCATCTCATAAATTATTCCTGCTGGAGTGCCCTCCAGACAAAACACCAAAGCCATCCCTGCTTCAGTAAACCTTCTCTTTAGATGACCTCAGCCATTAATTCTCCAAAGATGCTGCGGAGAGATTTTATATCTTTTGAATCTAAAATAAACTCATTTCAATAAGAATCCATTAGAGGAGGAAAGTCCAGAAGAAACTGGTTAAAACCAGCAAACAGACTGAGACAGCCGCACACAGGGTTCACACCCTCTCATGTATGCAGTGGAGTTTTTTAAAAGGATGAAGCTGAGGAAGAGGAGGAGCAGAGAAACATGTTGGAGACGTGATTCAGGCCAAAACCTGACAACAAGAGAAACCACACAGCTTTCAAGAAGATTCAGACCAAAGAAAAAACACACAGCTCTGTCTGCTGCTGAATTATAAAAGATCTGAGATCAGCTCAACTTTTCCTTTTCCATATCAAAGGGAGTTAGTGGGTCAGCTGCGCCTGTTCAGAGGGAGGGGGCTAAATAACAGAGAGCTACAGTCAGAGTGAAAGAGACAGGAGGACCACAGAGACACTCACTTTATATAACCAAGACACCGTTTAGTCTCTGCTTGTCATTGACACCGATCCACACAAACTCCTGAAAGTGTGAACTGTTGACTCCTAGCCCCTAACAGCAGTTGGTGCGCTTCATTTAAAGGTTCACGTTGGGACTTATTAGTTTGTGTGGTGTATGATTTTTAGGATCATGAGAGTGCAATGAACCTACTAAGGCCACTTTTAGACGGAAACGGTCTCCATAGAAAACGGAAAAGTGCTGTTTCATTTTCGGTTTTTATGCTGTGTTTACACAAAAACGCAGTGTGGTTGAAAACACTGTAATGTGCATGCCAGGTCGCTAGGTGGCGCGTGTTGGTGTGACCGCACCCCCATATGGACCAACAACGCATACGTAGAACAACTTCCGTTCTACTTCCTAGAAGCATGCAGCACAATATGCTGCGCATGGCTATGATGTCATAAGCGTGAGCCAGGACGTCACAGGTTTGACTGTTTTCAGCGTTTTTGTACTTTAAGCGAGAGCGGGACTAGCAGAGCGTTTTCAACATTTCCACTCTGGAGGGGGTTTTCACTTTGTTACATTTTTATCTCCTGAAAACGCAGTTGCCGTCTAAACAGAACTATTTTTTTCTAAAAGTGGCCTCAGCCTGTTCTCACCTAAGACTTCAGAAATCAAAGAGCTTCAATCTTCAACATGACTCTAAGTTTGACCCAAGCCCAGTTTGATTGAGCCCAGCTGTCCAGACAAATATCCTTAAAACTCTGACATGTCCAATCCAGAAAAACCTGGATTTAAAGGTGGGGTAGGCAGGATCTGAGCAAGTGCCAGTTTTTGGGAGAAATCTTGAATGTAAACTCTACCCCTCCAACCAGTTTCCCCCTCAGCTCCTCCTCTCCCCTCACTCTCTGCTCCAGCAAGCTCCGCCAACAAACAGACGCACCTGCTTGCTTTTATCGTTCCAACTGAATTCAGATATAACCAGTGCTTAATTTGTCCTCCAGGAGGTGCCGGGTCCCCCTCTGGAGCGCTTTTTTTCTTGGGTTTTTAACGCGTTTTTATTGTCTTTTTCACCTTAATTTCCGCACTTACCTAGTAAAACATTTACCTATTTGCGCGCGGTGCCGGTGTGGAAACAAAACCATCCCAATGCGCATTGCATTGTGACGCGTGAGGGCATAAATCACTTTTTCCCCGTTTTACCTAATTTCTGATTAAAATGCATAAGAAATAAGCCAACAGGCATCACTTCCCTGTCAAGAAATAAAACACAGAGAAAACATAGATAAAAACACAGTTTATTTCTTGACAGGGAAGGTCCCGGATCCGATCAAAGAGGTCCTGGAGCGCGCTCCGGCTTGCTCTGGCACAAATTAAGCATGTGAAAGTAAAAAGCATTGGTGCTACTGTAAATGCCAACAGACAACCAGCAAACACAATATTTGCAGGACTTCTACAACTAGGATAGAGAAGTGACATACTCCAGGACCCGAGGTCAACAGTTTAGCGGTGCTACAACACTCAGCAGGTCCCATTGAACAAGAAACACTTCTGTTCCAGACACTTGGCTTACTTTGTTAAAGCGGTTTACCTGTCCAGCAGAAAAGTTTCAGGGCCCGTAAGTTCCCG